TAAATGGTAAATGGTAAATGGTAAATGGTAAATGGTAAATGGTAAATGGTAAATGGTCTGTACTTATACAGCACCTTTCTCTCCATCCAGGACACTCAAAGCTCTTCACTCTACAATCTGTGTCCTCATTTATCCATTCACACAGCACTCTGTTAGGTCTCTACAGAGCTAACATGTACAATCATCTGTGGAGGCTAATCAGTGCCAATCACATTCAGACACTGATGGGACACATCAGAGGCATTAGGGCTGAAGGGTCTTGCCCAAGGGCACAACAACTGAGACAACTGGATGGGGGATCGAACCAGCGACCTTCTGGTTCCAGGATGAAAGTCTCAAACTGAGTCTTTCTGCTGAAAGTTACAAACTGTAAATTCATTCAAATGTTATTATTTGTAACTTTATGGCAGTACGTGGTGACTAACAGGCCAACTAGTGTTTCATGGTTTTAGACAGAAAATTAGAGGGAAACCAGCAGGAAGAACTTTAAGTTTTTAATCTCAACATGTTGGTTTATAAACAGATAATAAATACAAAACTAACAAATTCTACAACCACTGCTAACACTACTAATATCACTGCTTATACTTCAACTGCTACTACTACTAAAACTACCACTATTACCATTACTACTACTACTACTACTACTACTACTACTACTACTACTACTACTACTAGTGATAGTAGTAGTAGTAGTAGTAGTATTTGTTGTATTTTTCTCCAAATACTCTGAGATTATTGTTTCATCCAAATAGAAAATAAATCAGTGTCAGATCTTTTGGGAACCAAAGTTCATAAATTGTCTCTAATTTCTCTGTAAAAATCTATTTCTTTAAATGTAGTATTTTTCTTTAAGTATTTTTGGTTTCTGTTTTTACACGAGGAAGGTTTAGTCAAAGTTTTTCTTTCTAAATGTCACTGTTCATTTTTCCACACATAATTTATGTGTGGTGAAACGTCTGAATGCATCCAGTAGAAATGGGAGAATATTTAAAAGTATTACAAAATGATTTAATAGTACTGTAAACAGAAGCAGTAAAAAGGAGAAAAATCCAACAACTCTTTAATGGTAAATGAGTTTCTGTTGCATCTCCAGCTTTTCTTCATCTAACCCAAACTTTATGATTTGTTCATAATAACAAGTGAGGGAATTAGAAAACCTGGTTTTTCTTCAGTGACGTTTGACTCCTTGAATCTAAAAGTAATAGGTTGTCACTTCAAAAAGTACCTTTTGAAAACAAGTTTTTGAGTTTTTGTCTTTATATTTGCATAAATGAACCTGTTGCTTCCAGCTGTTAAGAACCAGGCCACAGGACACTACATCCTGAACGGGAAAGGAGACGAGCTCAGGTCCAGGACCTTCATAGACCTGGGGGTGGAGTGGAACTACATCCTGGAAGGAGATGTGGAGACGCTGCACACTGACGGACCTCTGCATGACCCTGTGGTGGTTCTGGTAATTATCTGAGGTTCTGCTTCTAAAAACCTGTTTCTTCCACAGAGCACAAGAAAAACATTCGTTTAAAAGAATCGTTTTATTCCAGCTTCAAACTAGTTCACATCCATTTCACAGGAACAGGTGGTTGAGTTTATTTCAGAAACAGATCTGTTATTTAACGATGAACTCAGACTAGAGATGGACTCAGATTTTAGGGATGAACTCAGATTTTACAGATGAACTCTGAGTTTAGAGAATAACTCATGGTTTAGAAATGAACTTAGAATTTATGGAATTTAAACTCTGAGTCCATCTTTAAACTCTCAGTTCATCTGTAAAGTCTGAGCTCATTCCTAAAGTAAAGAGTTCACCCATAGAACCGAGTATAAGGATGAACTCAGNCAGAGTGTAAGGATGAACTTAGAGTGTAAGGATGAACTCAGAGTGTAAGGATGAACTTAGAGTGTAAGGATGAACTTAGAGTGTAAGGATGAACTCAGAGTGTAAGGATGAACTCAGAGTGTAAGGATGAACTCAGAGTGTAAGGATGAACTTAGAGTGCAAGGATGAACTCAGAGTGTAAGGATGAACTCAGAGCGTAAGGATGAACTCAGCGTGTAAGGATGAACTCAGAGTGTAAGGATGAACTCAGAGTGTAAGGATGAACTCAGAGTGTAAGGATGAACTCAGAGTGTAAGAATGAACTCAGAGTGTAAGGATGAACTCAGAGTGTAAGGCTGAACTTAGAGTGTTAGAATGAACTCAGAGTGTA